TGGTAGGAAATAAATTGCTGAGTTACTGGTAAAATATTTTGTCATCTAATTGTACTGGAGTGACTTGAGAAAATTATATGATTAAATGCTTTACAATTAAACTCAGTAATGTTCACTGTCTAGGACTTTTGCAATGAATCTTTTAAAACTTATTCAGCTCCTTGCTCAATGCAAGTGTATATTTTCACAGAATGTAGCAATTAGGTATATTAAGTGTTTGTTTCTCTTTTGGATAGTTTGAAAACAATGTTTTATAAACAGTGCCATTGCTCTTCTTTTTTCCTTAAGAAACGTCTTGGCTGAATCAGCAAGGATTGCTCGTGGTAAAATTGCAGATTTAACTAAACTTACTGCAAATGATCATGATGCTGTGATATTTCCTGGAGGATTTGGAGCTGCCAAAAACCTGTTGAGTATTGAATTTTAGAATATGTTTACTTATTATTACTATTACTATGTAATGTTACAATATACTTCTTTATTACTATTTACTAAGTAGTGGATGCAGTGGCTCAAGCGGTTAAGATGCTGACTCTGTTGGTTGCAAGATCAGCAGGTTGGCAGTTCAAGGCCCAGGTGGTGCATGATGGGGTGAGCTCCTGTCACCAGTCCCAGCTTCTGCCACCTAGCAGCTTGAAAGCATGCCAATGCAAGTAGATAAATAGGTAGCACTTTGGTGGGAAGGTAAACAGTGTTCTGTGCAATCATGCTGGCCACATGGTCACAGAGTAGTCTCTGACAATGCTGGGTCTTCGGCTTAGTAAGGGGGATGAGCAACGCCCCCTATGACCAGACATGGCTTGACAACCTTGTCAACGGGGAATACGTTTACTTTTACCTTTAAGTAGTTATTTATTTATTTAATAACAATTTAGTTACTGTTAGGTATTACTCAACTAAGTAACAACTATTTAGTAAATAGTAAGAACTATTTATTAAACAGCTATTACTAAAGGACATTGCAAAATAAATTACAAGTTCACTATGGCTGCAGTCTTATAAACACCAGAGAGTCTCACTGGATGGGAATATTTCTGAACTGTCATGCATTGGATTTAATTGTCAAACACCATTTTTCTGACTTTTTATACCAACGTCTTGTTTCTTTAAGAAGAAATATCACTACTGTACATGTTCTGA